CTTACAAACTTCCCCAGGACACTCTGTGCCTACAACTATATCAAATCCCAAGTTTCTTTTGGAAAAAAAATAACAACTTATCAGAAGCAATTCTGCATATTTATTTCCTACTCACACAGTAAACAAACAGATACTACTCTAGAGCAGTTTATACTGGTTGGCTTTTCCCTGCCAAACCCATCCCACATCCCACAGGGCAGCCCTGGCTGTACCTACAAACTGAGGAAGGAGAGGCTGCAAAGAAGTGTCATGGAAAGGGACCTGGGGGTCCTTGTCCAGGGCAAGTTGAATATGAGTCAGCTGTGCCCTGGCACCAGGAGGGCCAACAGTGTCCTGGGGGCATCAGGCAAGGCACTGCTGGTCAAGAGAGGTGATTGCCCTGCTGTACTCTGTGCTGGTGCAGCCTTACCTTGAATATTGGGTGCAGTTTGGGGCAGCACAATATAAGAAAGATATTAAGGTATTGGGGAGTGTTCAAAGGAGGGAAAAGGAGATGGTGAAGGACCTTGAGGGGAAGTCTTAGGAGCGTGGCTGAGGGCACATGGGCTGTTCAGCCTGGAGGAGACTGAGGGGTGACCTCATGGCTGTATACAACTTCCTCACAAGGGGCAGTGGAGGGACAGCACTGACCTCTGCTCACTGGTACCAGTGACAGGACCCGAGGGAATGGTCTGAAGTTGTGTCAGGGGAGGTTTAAGTTAGATATCAGGAAAAGGTTCTTCCCCCAGAGGTGTTTGGGCACTAGAACAGCTCCGAGGGCAGTGGTCACAGCCCCAAGGCTGACAGAGCTCAGGGAGTGTTTGGCTAATGCATAAGCACAGGGTGGGATTGTTGGGGTGTCCTGTGCAGGGCCAGAAATTGGATTAGATGATCCTCGTGGGTCCCTTCCAACTCTGATTATTCTGTGATTCTGTTTGTTCTCTATTCTCCTGCTGCTTCTAACTTACCTGCAGATCCTTCTCCTAAGTGAACTAAATGCTGCAATTCTTATTAACTTTGCACTCATTCAGCAGAACAATTTGTCAGCTCTCCAGGAATATATGTATGATCACATTTTAGATTTTAAAGTACATTAATTTTTAATTTAAGAGCTGAGGCTATTAGTTGAAGGTCATTTGCCTAGTGTCATTTTAATTAATTTCTAAATTGGAGAAACACTGGCTGGGAGGATGTACAGAATGGAATTTCTAAAGTGCAGAAGCAAGGAATGACAAACTGTGGGAATTGTCCTGTTTTACCTCTTTACAGCCCAGAGGTATCTCTGAACACTGTGGCACTACATCACCTTGTGGAGGACACACATTGAGCATCTCCTGGAGCATCAAAGCTCAAAGGAAGAAAAGGACGGAGTTAGGGAGGAAGGAAGGGCAGGTAAACAGAGGAGCTAAATTAGAAAACTTATGATAATTCCTAAGTATAAAATGCAAAGCCCAAAAAAAATCCCATTGCTCTGAGGTTTCAAGTGTTAGCTAATGTGAAGTCTAATTATTTTTGCAGTTCGGTATTTTTATTAAACGTGCCCTGAAACATGAAACTTGCAGCTAATAGAACACATGTGGAGGTAGACAGAGCTCTTTTTGGAGTGATTTCATTAGTTCCATGGACAGTGATGCCAGAAAAACAAAATCTAAGTTCAGTGCAACTACCAGGACAGAGTAGAGAGGGGAAAAGCTAAAATCACCAAGTGGCATCATTCAGCAGAGAAGCCTGGATTTAGGACTCCAAGCACATCTGTCACCTTGGAGATTTTACTGATAAAATTTCATGGTAGATTTGTGCCATTTTATGCTTTAGTTCACATGAAGTTAACAACTTCATGCTTTGCAGTTCCAGTTCCTTGTAAAGCTTTCAGATGTGATTCAGTGAAAGGCTGCAGCAGGCAGCACCAAACCTCACCTGGACACAAAACATCTGCTCAGTGCACATGGAAAACAGCAGTGTGAGGTGAATTTTCAAAGGGAATATTGAGTAGCTAAGCTAAGATTTAGTCCCATTAGTGAGTATATATTAGTCAGCTTAAAATACTCAAGAACAGAAGTGCCACATCATTCCTTGTTATCAATATCCTTTGGTGTCCCTTGGCAGAGTGGATTAGAGTTCAAAACATTGGGGGAAAAAAGCCACTTTCCTGCAAAATAATGGCCAGGTGGGAAAACTCCAGGAGCGTCTTTGATCACAGGTCCTGTACAGCTGATTGCAAGCTACTGAATTGTTATGACTTGTGTTACCCTGACAGCTTTTTGTGCTCTTGTCCCACTACCAGTGCCAAGGAAAATGTATTAGTTTCAAGTCCCATTCTTAAACCACAAACAGAGTTTAGTTTAACTCATTATCCTTTGCTGTTTTATGAGCTAAGAGCTCAAGCACAGATCAGCTGATGAGCAGAAGGCTGTTGAGCCACAGACCTCCTCTCTACTCCCTGGTGTAATGCACAGGATCATGTGAGTCCTACTCACCCACTTCAGAGCTTAAACTGCTGATGAAGCTTTTAATAGCTAAGGCAGAATGGAGATAAAAATCCCCTAAATACTGGCTTGCTCCTGGTTTTTGGTCCAGTGGAAAATAACTATTTTTCAGCAAATACTTTTGGGGGAGCTTGAGGGTTCCTGTGAGTTTGCAGCAGTTGAAGTGTGACAAGGCCTGGCTGGTGATGCTCAAGGCACAGTAGTTATGTCTTTTGCACCAAAATGCAGCTGAGTTCATGAAGAAAAACAAACCCCAGCACTTCACCATTTGTTTTGAAGGAAAGTGTGAAAGCAGGGCCAGAGTGTAGATGGTCAAAAAACAACTCCAATAATTGGATGCTAAACTGATTTCCTACACACACAGGTACAGCCACAACCACTTGGGTGGAACCAAGATTATCCCAGATATAGAATGGTTTGGGTTGGAAGGACCTTATAGTTCATCTCATTCCAGCCCCTGCCATGGGCAGGGACGCCTTCCACTAGCCCAGGTCGCTCCAAGCCCCATCCAACCTGGCCTGGAACACTTTCACGGATGGAGCAGCCACAACTGCTCTGGACAACCTGTGCCAGTGCCTCAGCACCCTCACAGGGAAGAACATCTCCCCAGTATCCCATCTATCCCTTCCCTCTGGCAGTGGGAAGCCATTCTCCCTTGTCCTGTCACTCCAGGCCCTTGTAAATAGTCTCTCTCCATCTTCCCTGTAGCTCCTTCAGGCACTGCAAAGCCACAATTAGGTCACCCTGAAGCTTCTCTTGCCCAGGCTGAACAAGCCCAATTCTCTCAGCTTTTCCTCAGAGCAGAGGTGCTCCATAAGCATCGCATCACCTCCCTCAACCTGCTGCCCATGTGACTCTTGATGCTTTTGATGTTAATTTAAACCACAAAAAGTCACATTATGCTTTTAACCATACTTTTCTTGCCCACCTTGCTCTCACACACTTCAACAAACACAGATCACATCCTTCTGTATGCACCGACATATTTACACACACTTGCAGAACACTACTCCAGAGTTCACAGTTCACCTCCCTCAACCTGCTGCCCATGTGACTCTTGATGCTTTTGATGTTAATTTAAACCACAAAAAGTCACATTATGCTTTTAACCATACTTTTCTTGCCCACCTTGCTCTCACACACTTCAACAAACACAGATCACATCCTTCTGTATGCACCGACATATTTACACACACTTGCAGAACACTACTCCAGAGTTCACAGTCTCTTACTCCATCACTGCTTCAGCATGAGACAGGTCTGAATGCTCCTACTGTAGGAAAGGACTCTCCTCTCCCTGCTCACCCTAAGGAGGTTCAGGAATATATGGTCATGCAAGCATTTCCCAGAAAGCAGCACAAAGACACTTCAGTCTTTGGTTCTATTTAAGAGGGAGAGATGCAATTTGGGGAATACTATATATTTCAAGGGGGAAAATAATGCCATTAGGTTCTAATTTAAAAAGAATTCAACCTAATCTACATGTCACACTCAGAGAGACATAAACCCACCCAGTATTAGTCTTGCAAGAAGGTGTAATTTGGACAATATTTCACAAAGGAAAAAGGAACAGTAAGTACTCAAACACAGGTTCTGACACCTCTCCAAAACTTCATTTTTCCCTGTCTCACTTCTGCAAAATTGCTTCTGATTAAAGCCTCAGTAGAGAACACTTCAAGTGGTTTATTTTTCTTTTTGGAACCCAAGTTAGATTCCTTCCCCGCACAAATTCTGCATATGGTCAAAAGTTCAGAGTGCTGGTAGCTTCTCTCAGTTCAGAACCTTCATGATGTCAGACTTCAACCCAGGGCAGGACTCAAGTTCTAACCAGATGTCTCACAACTTATTCATATTCAACAGGATCAAAAATATTCCTCACACATCTATCCAAGTGGCCTGGCTAGAAAGCTTCTTACAGGAGGATTTTTGTGCTGTGGATGTTTTAATAGAGCTCAACATTTAGTGAAGTGTGTTTGAAATGAAATGTGAGCACTTTGCTGACACCTGACATGGAAATTCTCTGAGTTTCAACATTTATTGACTCATCACTCGAAAGAAAATCTGCTTTTTCTTACCTCATGTATGCATAAGCACCTAATATCTTATCAACAAGAACAAAAGCAGATGGGGAAGATCTGTTTCTCCCAAGACAGCCATGTAATGAAAAAAATAACTGCTTAAACCTCAGCAATAAATGTTCTTGGGTTTGCATGGGCTGAGGCCACATCTGGCCACGGTGACAGTGGAGAACAGAGACAAGAACATACTGTACACATGATAATCAATCCAGTTCCTGAATGGAAGGAGAAGGGGCCAAAGACAAGGAGGTATAAAACCGAGGGAGAAAATCTCTTGCAGGAATGATGAAATGAGCTTAGTCAAATACTTCACTTACATTTTATCATTCTGCAAGTTGTTTATTTAAATAGAGAGACCAGAACAGATTTTCCTCTTTAAAACAGCCACTAATAATGTGGGACCATTTCCACATTAAAGACTAAAAAAAATACTGTTTAAACTGAATTCTGTTCCTACCTGTCCATCCTGACCCACGTGGACTTGATGTATCTGCAGGTTTCCCTGGAAAAAATGAGAACGTTGACAATAAACACAACTGTGGGATTATTTTTTTTTGCTGCAAAAAGTTTGTTTCTCATCTTATTATTAAATAAGTTCAATATTAAAGAAATCTATTAATTGAGGAAGTTCTGCTGAGGGTTATTCTGGCAGTCAGTGGTCAGCACTGGAACCACAGAGGATAAACAGACTCAAAGGCAAAAAAGTGCCTCGGCACCAGCAGGTTTTGCTTTATAAAGTTACTGTATAGAGTATTTTTATTCCAAGTTTCTCTGTGCTGCTTCTGAGGTAAAAACTGTGGGTTTCCTTATTTATGTAAAGTGCAAATTTCAGTCAAACCCTTACTAAACTAGAACTAGCAATACAACCCTTTTCTATGTATGGAGAGCTATGTACTACTTGGGTTTTATATCCATGATGTCCATTTATTTCCCAATCTCCATAGTGAAGACCAACATATTTCTGTTACAGCAATTACAGATCACAGAAATCTCTCATTAATGCAAAATGTTTTAAAGGCAAATGTAGCTACAAAGAGTAATAAGGAAATCTTTATAGAATGAGGATCTATTCATGTGCTCAGAGATGTCCTTCCAAAAGCACACTTGGACTAAGGAAAAGCAGCTTCCCAAACAGAGACTTGTAGTGAAATTCCACATATTTCTTGGAGGAAAGTATCCCAGCTCTTTGATTTGCATGCTCTCTGCAGTTTCTCTCACTGGCAGCTCTTCCTCTTATTTGAAGCTGTGTACATTGCTAAATTTAAACCCAGATGTTTCCATCTTGAAAGCCTTGAAAGGCTCAGAGACCAGAACAGCCAATGCACACAGGGTGTGCTTGAACCTCAGGATCAGTTACAACAGCATCTGCTGAATCATCATATTTTTAGTGGTTCTTTACCCCAAAACTGCTTCACTTTCATTGCAGCACACTCTGCATTCCTCCAGACCAGAATATTTTAATCCTTTCTCATTTCTCTCACAGGCTCTTCAGAGGAGAAGCCTTTAACTATAATATTTATAGAATATTTATGACAATATTTCTGCTACAGTAGCTCCCTGTGTTCAGTGTTCCTTCACCAAGGGGTTTTATGAGATGTGATTTGGGTGCTTTGGAAATGGATTACACTAACCCACAAGCAGATTATGCTGCACAGTGAGTAAAAAAAACTCGACAGGGAAATGGTACAGATTAAAATTGTAGTTTGCATTGCTGTTTAACCTTATTTGCTAATGATTCTTCATGGAAACTAATTGCTCAATAAATCTAACAGCAGTTTTAGCTGTTGGGAGTATCTTCACAGTCTTAAATAACCAACAACTGCAGTCCCACCCAGGTAAATCCACCTGGCTTTGAGAGCTGCTTTGCCTGAGTGGGGGAAGTCAAAATTGGAGGGTTCAGTACTGAATTTATCCATTTCTATTCTACTGAGCTATTTTTATGGAAAAAGTTAAGATGTGCAAATATTGCAGTGCCAGATTAGTTGGTTAGAAATAAAGGCAAGTCCATTCTGCAGTATCTCTTTACTAGGTGGTGTCTGAAGGTTTCTTCACCTCCTGTTCAACAGTTCCCACAGTTAAAGGCACTGAGTTTTCTGCACACATTTAGTTCACAAACCTTAACTAAAATAATTTCATTTTCCAATGGCAGTGCAAGCACCTAAACTGGTTTTCTGTAACAGCCTCTAAGTATTAAACTTCCATAAATTACCACTTTATGCAACAGCCATTACTGTAACACATACAGATCTGTCTTGGCTGGTCAAGGAGATTAAAACAAAAACCCAAATCCTCAAACAAACGAAAATAACCCATCCAAATAGCCTAGAGACAGAACTAGCATGTTGCATTTACTGCCCTAAAGCACATTTCATCCTGGTTCCACCACATGATCTCATGTGGACCCTCTCTGCTCTCTGTAGCAGATCTCAGAGGTTCAGTTTTAGCACCAGGGCCCTACATGTGTCCCAGGGGCACCCAAAGCTTTGGCTCACCTCACTGTCCTGTGTGATCTGCACCTGCTCCCCTTGAGGCACCTGGGTTATGTGGAGATGGCCCTGTGGGATCCACAACAAAAGGAAACACCAAGGAGCATCAGAGGAAAATCACAACTAGAGGAAGAAGCTCTTGCCTTGCATTCAACACAAGTTAATATAAGGAAGCAAAATGGTTATTCGATGAAATCATTAAAGACAGTATTAAAAAAGTAAAGTGTGTCTGTATTTCCCCATCTTTTTATGTAAAGTATAAGCAGAGACTTTGGGCCAAGAATGGTTCATTTTCACTTAAGTGGAAGGAAAACAGGCATAAAAATAAATAGCATTGATGTAGAACACTTCTCTGTGGCAAAGGATCTGTGTTTTTGACTGATGCACAGAGCATGGGACTGACTTGCTTGGGTAGGTTATTACCATTGTGCCTGAGACATTAGTTCTATGGAAAGGCCTTAGAAACTCAGTTCTTGAACAGCTAAGGAAAGGCCTTAGAAACTCAGTTCTTGAGCAGATACAGAAAGCCTAACTATCCCTGAGACTGAGGTTATCAATTATCCATATATTATGGCATATATAGAGTATACAATATATACATACACATATTCTCCATATATTTTTGACCAGTCCCACAGCTCTGGTGAAGCACAGACCCTGCCAAGGACTCTGAAGCTGTTGGGATTTGGCATGAATCGTTAATTTGAACACAATTACCTTGGTTTATGTGGGTGAGAATCTGCCCTAAGAGCTTTAATCATGTCAATACTTTGCTGCCCATAGCCATCACTTCAGACTGGCACCAAGCCTACCCTTTGATCCAAACCTGGATAAGAGTGGATGGAATTCCTCATGCATCCTGACTAGCCCAGCGAAGTCTTCACTGCTGTGATTTACCTGAAGGGAGATTGGATTCTAAATAACCTACTTGAGGGTTTATAAGGCTTTGTGTTCATTTTAATATGCCTGCATGAGATTAAAGATAATCATTTGGAATTCTCTCAAAGGCTCTTCTTATTTTATAACACAAGAACAATTGCCTGTGATTTTCAAAGACACACAGATCCCTCTATTTCAAACAGTTTCATTTCCTTTGGAAGGAAACTGGCTATTTATAGGGAGAAAAAACACACTGCAAGTATCACCCTGACAATAGTGGCTGTATATACAATTATAGCACTGCCCAGTCTGGGGGGAGATTACAATCACTTTCCCCTCCTTAACATCAAGCTCTCAGGGCTCCCAGGAAAAGGCATGGAGCATTTAAAGGATCCATTTATAGTGGGTTTAAATATAAGGAATCCTTTCTGGCTAGAGGGAGGAGGGAGAAGGTGACTTCACTCACCTGGGAGTTATACAGCAGCCAAACCAGAACTGCTCACTCATCTCTTGCACACAGAGTTGCCCTTCAAGGACAGTCCTAGCTTGCTCACAAACTCAATACTCATCTTTTAAATCATATATAGCATAAATAACTACTTTACTGATGCCTCTCAGCCTCATCCATATATATTATTCCCTAGAATTAAAAAAAAATGTCATTTTCTCATATATCTCATGTTTTGCCGTATGAAGTTACTGTATCAAATATTTTTACGCCAAGTTTCTCAGTGTTGCTTCTAAGCTAAAAATTTGGGGTTTCCTTATTTAGATAAAGTACAAATTTAAGTCAAACCCCTTACTAAACTAGAATTAGCAATATAACCCTTCTATATGTATGGAGAGCTATTTACTATTTTGTTTCTATTTCCATCATTTCCATTTATTTTCTCCTGTTTCAACCTATTATGACATTTAGATAGTGGATTTTTCCTGGATTCCACATGCAATTTAAAGGATAGTTAACAGGTCCAGATCTTTTAATGAAGCAAATGTGCATTTTTCTATGAGATCCATGTATTTCATGCAGTTTTCCCTTTTACCTTGCCTTTTTGACTTGAAAACTGCTCTTCAGTCATCAATCAAATCTCACACAATGATCCACAGAGCAGTTAAGAAGATATATAAGAGACAAAGAAATTCCCAGAATAATACCATAAAGTTAAGGCACAAGTGAAGTGGAAATGGAACCTTCTCATCCAGTTCTGCAGAAAGAGAATTATTTCACTGAGGACACCCTTAAACATAATTTGGAATGAAAACAATCCTTACAGCCCAACACAGGACAGAGGAACTAAAGTGAAAGTGAGTTTTTTCCAGAGTACACTAAAGCCATATAGAAAAACAAGCAAGGCCTGAGCTGTGGTAGGAGACTCAGACTTTAAAAATGTCAATATTTATAGCTTTTACTTATATACAAGCAGCTAAATGAATACACATGTCAAGGATTCAGCTAACAGATGTTCAAAACCGCCTGAGAATGTAGTTTTTCTCCGGAAAAATAAATAAATGGACTTTTCTTGGGAAAGTCATAGCAGGAACTACCTCTGATGTGTAAATCATCCTCTAAGAAGGACTGGTGGTGTTATGGAAGTGCAAACAGGCAGGTAGAGACTGATTAATTCTATATCCAATCATGAATGAGGATTTATTTGCAATCATTATGCGAGCAAATCCTGAATGAAGACTTCTGTCAAATAACTCTAAATATTTGTTTTCCATAAGCCTTCCATGTTTATCTTCTGACAATGCAGCTCAGAAAGTGCTGACAGGTCACAATATAAAACATTCAACGGCAACTGAAGCAAAGCTTGTGAGAATCTAGCTGGTTTGCATGGAGCAATGTAGAGAAAGTTGAGTACATACTACTTGGACTTGGCCATCTTCTCCTATTTGGTGGATCTGGACCTGCTGAGCATTGGCAAGTGCATAGTGAAGTGCCTGGGGCTGGTTCTGCTGGATCTCATTAGAGGCTGACACTGAAATCTGGGAACTCCCTGGAAAAAAAAACAAGAGACAAAAATCCACTTTTATTCCTTGTGTACATCCCATACTAGTGGCCATGCCACAATCCATCCCTAAAACCCATGGAAAACAAATCCAGGCAGGGGATGCAAATCATTTATATGTTAATATTCTTGGGCACGTTTGTTGCATGATGTACATTTGCCACAGATTCCACAGGAATTCCAAGGGCTGGTGTGTCTCTGGGAAAGCATATGTTGGAAAAAAGCATCTTTCAAATACAGATTGAGGATTCTGCAACTGGAAAAATCATATCAAAGCAAAAACACAGACATTTCCTGAGCAGTTCAACACCTTCTTTCATGCACCTGTGTAGCTGAGAACAATTTCTACCACCTCCACCTCAAGGCCTACTCTGTCTCTCCTGTAAATTAAACTTATTATCTAAATAAAGGAAATGCCTCAATTAGTTTTCAAGATTAATCTATAATTCAAACTGACACACATGAGTCTGGAATTGTGGTTTTTTTTTACCTCAGATTTACTGACTTAGATGAATTTAAACACCACCTCACAGGGCAAAGAGAAAATGCCTCTAAAAGGGGAAGACTCATGGGTGTTATCTTCAGGTAACAGTGCAACAGCCACCAGGAAAAGCACTAATTGCAAGAGGGTAACAACTTGCATTAGACATATCATGGATTCATTGCCAGGTTTTCCAGCTGCAAGGCAAGGTTTCTTCTACATATAAGAGGCAAAAGGCAAGTCAAAAGAACTAAAACTGTAAATTTGTTAGCATACAATCCTTTTTTTGATGATTTTTAATGCATTTGGGGGCAGCAATACTGAGAGACTAATAATGTCAGTAATTCTGAGCTCAAAGGGTCAAGTGAATGATGCAGTAGCATGACTGTCTTCAACCAGGTTGGAGAGGGACTTCGGACAAGGGAAGAAGCAAGAGGGCACAGGGAATGGCTTCCCACTGCCAGAGGGCAAGGATAGATGGGATATTGGGAAGGAATTGCTCCCTGTGAGGGTGCTGAGGCACTGGCACAGGTTGCCCAGAGAAGCTGTGGCTGCCCCATCCCTGGAAGTGTTCCAGGCCAGGTTAGATGGGGCTTGGATCAACCTGGGCTAGTGGAAGGTGTCCCTGCCCATGGCAAGGAGTGGGACAGGATAAGCTCTAAGCTTATTCCAACCCAAACCACTCCATGATTCTATGATCCTGCTCAACATGAGGGATACATCTTGATTTTTAAAACAATAGTTGGTTTATTCGACCCAACACAGCAGGAAACCAAATTTCATAAAATTTTAATACCTCTACTCAACGCTCCAAAATTCATACTGAAAAGACACTGTTAGTTTTGCAAGAATCTGCTTTATCCACTCAAATGTTTTAATGGAAATGTTTAATAAAATCAGCCATTTGGGTTTTTTTTTCTTCCTGTCTGCAAATGTTTGTCCTAGAAGATAATTTTGAGGTTTAAGTCTAAACATGGGAACTGGAAACTCAAAACCACCAAGTTAATATTTACTTCTTTGTTGAAAAGTTGAGTTGCTTAACAGTTCAGCAGAGAGGTCTGATTCTCTCGGTGATGTGCAGACACAGAACTCCAAGCACAACACTTCTGTAGAAACCAAGGGAAACGCAAACACGTGTCTGTTGGACACACACATTTGATACTTCACATTTACCTTAGCAGGTAAATGCAGGATGTTAGTAATTCCTTTAGACTTGCTGCCCACTAAGCAACTCCAGTATTTCCTGCACTGTTGTAAACTGGAAGTCTGCTGTACAGAATTCCAGATGGGATTATCAAATCTCAATTAGCTGAAAAGCCCTAAATCTAGTATAAAACCTGCCCCATCAACCACATAAAAGGGGTTTGTTCCAGTTTGGATACTCTCCATTGCCAGTGGCTTTGTCATGGGCACTGAAGGAACAGATATTCATGCAATGGTTTGGGTTG